GGGGATCTCGTAGTCGAGCAGTCTCGACTAGAGCTTTCTTACTTGTTTTATTTTCGTGTATGTTGTCTGCATGTTGTGTTCTGTTTTGTTGCTCCTCACCTCTTCTCTTCTTCTTCCCTCTCGTATTTTTTATTTTTTTTTTTTTTTGACAAGCACGCGCTCTGGTCATAATTACCAATTAGATGCTTTTCAATTTTTCGCTGCGGCCAGCGCTCAACACGTTTTCGGCCATGGCCAAGTTGATGGATGGTTAGCTGGCTGGCTGGTTGCTCGCTTGGTTAGCTGGCTGGCTGGTTGGCCGTTTGGGTAGCGACTCCTTCATCACTAAGCCCTGGTCCGTTGCATGTAGTACTTAAGTTGCTGTCTCATGGCATTTTTTATACATTTTCTGTTGTGGTCACGTTGCATGCAACACTTGGACTCGGATAAGTTGTACCTGTCTATCTAGTGATGGGGCTGCCACATGAGTTGGCATTTATACTTATCATATTACGAGCCGCAAACCACAAACATTTCATTTTGATAGCGGAAATTTGAGCAACTTTATCGAGTTTCTTAAGTTCAGTTGAGTTTCGTTTGGTTTTTTTTCTTTTTCTCTTCATTTTATTTTTATTTTTCAAACTTGTTATCAAATGTTCTACAGTTTCCGGTTAAAATGTTTCCGCTAGAGTCCAAAAATGAAAAACATAAATATAAACTTACTTCACAAAGTCTCAAACGAACTGTGAAATTTGCATTTCCGTGGCGTGTTGCTCAGCTCCAGTTGACTCGGAATTGTGAATACAAAATGCAAATTTATGTTAATCTTAAGCCGAAAGGCAGCAATCAATGCGTCGCCTCGTGTCGCGTCGCCTGTGTTTTGTAATTGGCACAAATCGTATTATTAGCTGCTTGATTAGCCTATAGTCGGTCTATTCAAGACGAGTAGCCGCAGCTGTCATTAGCATAGCATTTAGCCAAAATAAACAATTCATACTCGAACGCATTCACAGTTCTATCTATGCTTTCATTCCTCTTTCGTGGCCAAGTGCAGCTTTACAAATAACGCGATGGACAGACGGTGTTAATTTGAAATACCCTGTATTTGAGGTATATTTTCAAATGAGGGTTTGATTAGTTTGAATTTGAGTATAGATAGATCGCAAGCAGAAGAATAGTTAATTAAATGTCGTTGACTAAAACAGTATAAAATCTGTATAGGTATTTATATGAGTATTTATTTTCTAGTATTTTTGTGTTCTATCATAGTCTATATATAAGCAATATATAGAGAAATTAGTGATTTGGAGTAAATATAATTAAGGTATTGTTAGCTTATTGTTTCTAAGATGAATGATTATCGCTCATTTATGGCCTTTTGGTATACCTATCTTTGATTATTTTTGATAGAGGTATATAATACTATTCTTATATGTTCTTCATATAATTATTGCAGGGCATCTCTTTGCTTATAAACATTCAGTATTTCACATTATGACTTAGCATTAATCCAAATCAAGTGCTTCTATCTATTCCAAATTCCTACAGGGTATGTTTCAGTTCATCATTTCCTATACTAAACCCTTGCATTGTTGGCACAGCCTCCTCAGCTGCAACGCATTTGCCGTCCATTGGTCAACATTTGCGTTAGACGCGAGAATATTTCTATCTTTTCATCCAGCCATACGCACACTAATATACATACTATATATTTGTATATATGTATGTATATGCATCTATCGGGCTATGTGTTTATCCAGTGAGTCAAAGGGTTGGCGCGGGGGCAATTGTGACCGAGTCAATTTGTTTATTTTGTTGCCATTTGTTTATTTATTGCTGCGAGGTATAGCACAACACGTAAATGTGATTGAGCGTATCTCTGTGTGTGTGTGCATGCATGTGTGTGTATAGTAAAAAGGGCCACTCGAGCTATTTGGGCAAACCTAAAACAACAACAAAGCGATCTATGTACATTTTTATGATGCTGCTAAAAATGTTTTCAACATTTTTACCTTTTGATCTCGCACAGTTGTCGTATCTGTTCAATCGTCTCACTCTCTCGAAACAAAATAATAAAACAGAAGAGCAAGCAGAAAGGGTAGGGTAGGGTAGGGTGTGGGGGGGAGTAGGAGTCGGGTAGAAAAAAAAAAAACTACACAAACAACGCTAACGCCGCGACAGCGCCCCCGCCGCCTGCATTGCATTAGCATCAAATTGATTTTTCATTAGCTTGTGCCGGCCAAGCGGCTTGTACCAAGCTCCAAGCTCCCAACTCTAGCTCTATGACTGCCTGTGGCTGTAGTTGTGGGTATCCGTATCTGTATCTGTATACATTTCGGTTTCCATGGGTCGATGATCATAACAAAAAAAAAAAAAAAAAGGAAAAACCAAAATCAAGTTCGATACTTTTTTTGGAGCTGAACTTGAGGCAACAAACTGTGCTCAGCGTGCGCTGTAAATGCCATCAATATGATTGGGAATTTAATTTTATTTTTTGTTTTCTGTTTCTATTTCTTTTTCGTCGAGAAATGCATATTTGTGTGGGTCACATATTACATATTAGATTAGGGCTTATTGATAGCTAGGGGCAGGCATTAATGAACTTGTTTTTCCTACTCGAGCGTGTGTGTGTGTGTGCAAGGTCAATGTAATTAATGTGCATGTGTGTGTGTGTAGATCAAAGTTAAATACATTGTATAATTGCCGAGATACTTTGCACATATGGCTGACTGATAAATGGACTATTAAAATTAGCCTAAACCAAATAAATTTTTGGGAATTTCGCAGATTCTAGAGAACATATATAGAGTCTACATATACACATGTCTAGCTT